ATTGGCTATCATCTATGTAAGAGAAGATAAAAGGTACTTGTATTACTTGGTGGGATGGAAAATATGCTGGGAGCAATTTAGTGATACCAGTTAACTTATTTCTTGAACAGAGGATGGGGGAGCCACTCCTCGTTGGAGAGAGGAAAGAGTAAAGTGTGGTCTCTGTGAGAAAAGATTTTTCTTAGAGATTAGGGAGAACTGAGAGGTTGGAAAACATTAGAATCAGTGTCTAAGAAGAAAGTGATTCTTCATTCAGTGCTATTTAAAAACAGGACAGGTCCATGGGTGGTGAACACACAATACAATATGCAGATGATGTATTTTAGAATGGTACACCTGAAACCTATATAACTTATTTAACCAATGTCACCCCAATATATACATACATACATACATACATACAAATACATAAAAATTAATATAAGAAAATAAAAACAGGGCAGTTCCTCATCTATCTCCCATGGTTCAGATGTGAAGGGATAGTGATTAAATTGCTTCCTCCAGCAGACCAATCTATAATGTAAGCTAGAACAATCTATAATGTAAGCCTTGGGGAGACATGGCCACTAAGGAACTGCATGCGGGGAATCACATCTCCAGTTGCTGCATTCAAGAAGCAGCTATTGTGAGTTTTTAACAGTAGCATGTTTAAGACATGATGAATATAGTTTTATGTTAACTTTTTTTCTACATAACTTTGTATCTCTTTATGTTCTTTTCCTTCTGCACCATCTGCTACTAATTTATCAAGTATTTCTGTATTTTATCTATTTTAATACCCACTTTAAATCCATTTTGGAAAAAGAGGAGACATAATTGAATAAAATAAATTCTATCACAAAAGTCTTTAGGGCCTTTATAATTTCAGGAGTCATACCAGGTCCAGGGCGATATAAAGAACAGAGAACACTGGCCTCTAGGTCTTCACAGTGATGAACATGGAAAGGTCAATTAGCAATAACAAAATAAAAATCCTTTCAGGGCAATAGGACTCCTGTGGAATCACAGAGCAGAAAGGCCCATTCTTTGGGAATGGGAAAGGATGCAAGGAGAAGTCACAACAGAGTTGGTGGCACATAATTCCGAAATACAAATCTTGCCAGCAAATATGATTGGGGAGGATGTGGGCAAAGATGGGACGGGGTGCTGGGGAAATTCGGTCTTCAAGGAACAGTTTTGAGGCTGCCCTTCTTATTCCAGCAAATGTCATTATTCCAATCTAGTAAATTACTGACAAATGTCTTTCTTGACTAATGTTTCCTTCTATGCCTTTGTTCTCACCATATGGCCAGTGATCACTGGTGTAATTCGACAGTTTCAGGAGAGTTGAATGGTTTCCAGAGAATTCTGGTTAAAAAATATATATACCACAGCAGCCCTAGTTTGTTTGGCTCAGTGGTTAGAGCATCGGCCCTTGGACTGAAGGGTCCCGTGTTTGATTCCAGCCAAGGGCATGTATCTCGGTTGCAGGATCGATCCCAGTTTGGGGCACTTGTGAGAGACAACCAATCAGTGTTTCTCTCTCACATTAACCTCTCTCTCTCTCCTCCCACTTCCACTGTCTCTGAAAAGCAATGGAAAAAATATTCTCAGGTGAGGGAGAGAAAAAAGGGGACATCTGTAATACTTTCAACAGTAAAGATAAATTAAAAAATAAATAAGTAAAACGAAACTTTAAAAAAAAATACCACACCGGAAGTATCTTCAATAAAAGAAAAACACTCTACAGGTATAATCTTCTTTGAGACTCTGACTGACACCACATAGATAAAAATCTATCTTGTTCTTCTCAACATCAGTGCAAACATTTCCTATTCAAGCACAAACCTTACAAATAAAGGGAGCACCCTGCAAAAAAAAAAAAGTTTTATAGGGCACCATTACAAATGCACTAGACTATATAACCTTTGAAATTTACATCTTGTAAGCAAACATGGAGGGCCAAAGAACTATCTGTAAATTTACCTCAGAATAAACTTAAGTGTGAGGGCATTGGTGATGATATGAGGTGACCCTTGGCCAGTGAGTAAGCCTGGCCAATGGCCTGGAACCTCCGTTCCAGTGAGGCTTCCTTGCTAAAGCCATACTAGTAGTATTTTAGGTTTTTATTTATTGAGCACTCACAATGCTTAGAGCTTGACCTACCTTATCTCATTAAATTCTGACAATAACCATTTACACATTAAGAAACTGAGGTCTAGAAAGAATAAGTAAATGGTCTAAAGAGTCACAGCTTGGAAGCTGGTTAGTGCTGCACAAGTTTGAATATGGTTTCATCTAATTCAGTGATTTTCAACCCTTTTCATCTCATGGCATACATAGACTAATTACTAAAATTCTGCAGCACACCAAAGACTGTATCATATTTTTGCTGATCTGACAAAAAAAGTATAATTTTCATTCATTCACATTGTTAGAGGAGCAGCCCAGAAACCCCAGAGAGGTGTTATCGGACAGCCCCCCGAGTCAGTGGGAGAAGACCTGTCCCCATCCTTGATCCCTGCCTTCTCATATAAATGAATTTATATGAGAGACTCTGATTGTGTTGTGAAAAGCCAATTTTATTAAAGCAATTAAAGCAAGCACCTTTATTAAAAAAGCAAAGCAAGCAAATCTATATATCTGGTTTATGAAGTGCAGACAACTCTAAGCTAATCTGAAGAGAAAGTTGGATGGGGGTCCAAGGCATTATATACTTTTCTGTCTATAGGTCTCAAAATCCCTCCACTGAATATTTGGTACACATTAATTCTCATGGTCCCTTTTTACTTTGTTGTGGCTTCCCAGAAGGGCCTAGCAATTTTATCTCGCCAATCCTTGAGACTCATGAGAAGCACCTGGCAATTTTATCTTGCCAATCCTTGAAACTTCTCTACTTAGAGAGTAAAACTGCCCTTTTTTCCTTTCCTCTTATCCCCTTCCTTTCCTGCATTCTCTCATTAGGGAAGCTTTTAACCATTTCCTTTCAAGTGTCCTTCTCTGGGGAAAATAATGGCTTGTTATTTGCAGGCTGGCTGCAAACTGACCACAATGTTTGGCCTTGTTTTAACTTTCTGGTCTCAGTTTCCCTATTCCACTTGCCCTGGAACTTTCCTAGCTCCTTACTGCCATGTAACAATACCAAATGGCTCTTGTTGTGTTGGATGTTGTCAATTTTTTATTTGACAATCTAAGGGAAAAGAGGTCAGTACTCCTGACTAAATAGTCAGGTATTGCATGTTTTAAAAATTCTGGTGGCACACTGGTTGAAAATTGCTGGTCTAATTCATAATTACATACATGACTATGTCAATCATTCCAAGTAACTTTTAATCTCCATGATAATATTTTAAGATGTTGTCAGTCCTCGTAAACAATGTGCAAAGTGAAGAAAAGGGCTCCAGCAGCAGCCTTTTTTTTTTTTTGGAGATTTTACAAAGGTCTGCGTACAAAACACCCAGGAGGATGATCACGTTACTGAGGTCTGCCCGAAACTTTTGAGAAGACCAGAGTGACTATAGGGTGCTGGGCTGTTTATATTTCCAGGGCTCACAGTTTTGCTTGTGTTCCTGAGAGGATGACTGGTTTCCAGGCAACACCATGTTATATCTGTTTTCATAATGTCACAGTGACCAGCATTTTTTATAAAAAATAAAATGTATGGTACCAATAATGTGATGAGATGCTTTCTGAAATGTGGCTTTTCAGCCTATAGAAATCCCATGGTTACCACCAGTGAGGCCAGAGGAATTCCTAATAGGAGACTCAAATAATGAACACAAAAGCAGGCTATAGGGCTAGTAAGGACTAAGACTAAGAATGAAAGCACTGGGCTCTATCAGGTTAATTGACTTTTTCCAAGTGCTCTGGTCTTGAAAGATGGAAAAAGTACAAGCTTAAATTTCTGCCAAATAAACTTATATAATCTAAAGAATAGGCTGGCACTGGAGTCTGGTCCTCATGGCTGGTAAAACAAAAATTCAGTAACTTGTATGTGATTGATGTGTACAAGTTACAGTCTCTGGGATCTAAACTGCATGATTCAACTCATTATTAGGTCTTAATCTTCTTTTCTTGAAACCAAAAGTGTTATTAGTTGTAGAATAGCGTGTACTTCAATTGCCAGAAACTTCCAAAATGTGCATCTAAATTCTAATTTTAGTATACTTCAGTAAAGTTAAAATCACCTTGCTTGTTTCAAAAACGAATCCATTGCAGAAATGTTTTATGATGCCCTTTCCCCATGTTTTAAAAGCTATCTGTATCCAAAACAATTAAGATATTGCTCTGCAAAAGCTCAGTTCATTTTAAGTACTCAATATTGTAAACAATAACAACATGCATTTTTTATTTCTCATCAAAGACAATGTTTTTGACAATAACATTTACTCTGAGGGATTGAGAATGGATTTTATTGAAAATGAAAATGATGGTGCTTGAAGATTGCTAGGATATCTAGGATCCTTTTGGTAATTTCAGATGGTCTGGAGACATTCTGTAGAGTGAAAGAGTGAAAATGGAGGAGGAATGACCATCTCACCTAGCAGGGTCCACCTCTGATTCTAGGCTCCGTGTAGGGTCTTCAATGCTGCAGGAATCATTAAAATGTTTAGTGATAATAACCATCTTTTATTCTAAAGAAGGATAAAATTGGATCCAGTTGAATTGATGCTGGAAAACTCAAGAGATGGTACTTTGGGAGAAGTTACATCTTCAGGACCATTCTGCACATATGCAGGCCTTCTAATACCAAGAAGGCTGGAGGGAGCTGGGAGAAGTAAGCTCCAGCCAGTTGGAAATGCACAGCTCTTTGATGATTTCACATTTTCATTCCTGCCTTCTCTCTGTGAACCCAGAGCCACAGCATTTGTCCCTGAGAAAATGCTCTCGTGTTTCAAACCTTCCTAGGGTGCTGCTCACTCACAGCTCCTTTCTCCCAGAATATCCTTCATTTCCTGTGAAGACAGTGACCTTGTGGCTGGCATCTTCTACCCCTGCTGATTGTCTGCTTGTCCCCACAGAATCTGTACCAGAACAGATTTTTAAGCCTGGCTGCCATGGCATCTCCATCTAGAAGCAACCAGAACAGGCGCCGGTGCAAGGAACCGCTCTGCCACAGCTACAGCCCTAGCCAGTTCCACAGCATGGCCATCAGGACAGGCCCCCATGGCACCATCACCATCCCCCGCTCCACCAGCGACACTGACCTGGTTACATCTGACAGCCGCTCCACGCTCATGGTCAGCAGCTCCTACTACTCCATAGGGCACTCCCAGGACCTAGTGATCCACTGGGATATAAAGGAGGAAGTTGACGCTGGAGACTGGATAGGCATGTATCTCATTGGTGAGTAGAACAGCAATTAGCCAGACTGGCTGCAGATATAATGTCTTGGAATGTGGTTTGGGCATTCCACAAGTATATTGTTCATATTTCACCCTTACTTAGGCTTTAATATTTCAGTAATCTCTATAATTTAATTAAACTTAACAATTCATAATCAAATGTGTTATGCACCAAATTCTAACACACTGAAGACCACACACTAGCTTCTTTTGCCATCTCTATTTCATAGAAGAAAATCGTGAAATAGTAGGGTGAGGAGTGGTTGAACACAGACATTGTTACCATTTGCACATCTATGTAGAGTTAATTTCACTTTTGTTTTCAATATAATCATAGGCCTCTTTGACCTGCGTTTTCAACATTCTCTCTGCTTTGTATTACTGCTTTCAATGTAGACAGTGAATACAAACACACCACGGGCTAAAGAATGACATGATGACTGAAAGGAAAATGACTGCACAGGTTTGTGGTGCTGGAGAACATAAATGTCACAAATTTGAAATTATGAAAATAAAGTTTCATGAAAAATATGTTTCATCTATTTCATATGATAGAATCAGGTGTGGTGAAGATTGACAAATTTACACTGCAAATCAGCAAGTGAATGGGGGCCATAAGAGTCAGCAGGTTCAACAGGTGCCAGGCCTTTTGCATTCAGTCTCAGCAATGAAACGTTTACACGTTCAGACACACCAGATTTAATATCATCAAATATCACAGAAACTAATGATTGTTATGAGTATTTTATAATCTGGACTAGCTGTCAGAGAAATATTTTTGGTTCTCTTGAAGGTTTTGTTACCAGTTTGTTTAGTGTATTTACAATACACACAATATTATGATTCAGAAACATATTTTTTGAGATTTTTACATAAATAGTGGTTACTATCTAAGTTGAACTTCCAAACAGGTAACATTTAATTTGCTTTAAAAATAGTTCTTTTTTAAAAAAATTATCTTTGTTGTTGAAAATATTACAGCTGTCCCCCTTTTTTCCCCATTGACTCCTTCTACCCCACACCTCGCCCCTATAGTTATTGATTAAAAGTGTTCAAATGCCATTGATCTAGAACAGATCTTGTAAAATAATAGCCTACAACGCGTATTTTGTTTTAAATTTGATTAGTTATTACCACTTAAAAAATGCAGAGATTTCCCACTGAAATCCAAATTCTAACCTTCCTTCATAAAAGCCCTCAATTAAGCGGCTTGAGCCAGTTCCATGTGGTTCTAGGCAGCTGGAGTTAAGTCTTAGATTCCCCATAGAGACAGTCCTACACCCTTCAATTTTGCCATAGTTCCCCTTCTACCAATCCCTAATTTGATTATGAATCTTACTTGTTTAGAACTTTAAGCCAGTTATATTTTTGGCCTGAGATCTAGTTTTAAATCAACTCTTTATAGTTGTACCTTCCTGCAGTGGTGGATGTCAACACCATTCATTACTCAGTCAGGAAATAGAAGAGAAGCAAGCATGAAGGGGCCCTTGAGGGGAATGGATGGATTTGGAGCTCAGCTCTAGGAGTATAGACTTGATGTAATTGACACCCTGAAAGTAAATACAGTCACTTGTGGATTGTGTGTAAAAAGAGAACACCAGAAAACCCTGTCAAAGAGAAAGCCAAAGGAGTAACAAAATAGAGATGGAGGATGTTGGAGAGGTGAGACAAAAATTAGGAACCCACGTAGAAGAAGGGAGAGGAAGAAATGGTGGTCAGGACTGTTAATCTGTCATGAAACTGTGAATGAATAAGATCTGGCATCAATATGACAATTTTACTGGGACAAAAGTAATCACAGCTCATCATCTTAGAATCTTAATTTGACAGTTTGTTCTTTTTCCTAGTAGCTGTATGTAGATAATTGTGAAGTTATATTTTATTAAAGTTTTTTTAATGTTGACATTGCAGGAGTCCCCTTTCTCACTCCTTTGCCAACCTCTGAAACCAGAAACATGAAAACATAGAACAGACTGCCTGGTGCCCTAGGGGAGGGGGGTAAGGGTGACTGGATAACGAAGGTGAAGGAAATAGCTAAAGAACATATATGCATAACACATGAACGTGAAAAATAATGTGAAGTTATTTAATGCTAAATGACAACACTTTCAGCGGCATAACATTTCAAAAATAATTTCCCAATCCAAAATTATCTATAAATCTTAAAAGTTCACAATTTTAGGTCCTCAGTAACTCATCTGCCAGATTTTACATTCTAATATGAAAATATTTCATATATTAAAAAACCTCAGGATAATCAATTTTTAAAAACAGTCATTGCCTTGACTCTGTTAAGCCCTTATTAAAATGACTTAATGCCCTGGCCAGTGTGGCCCAGTTGATTGTAGAGTCATCCCATACACTGAAAGGTTGTGGGTTTGATTCTTGGTCAGGGTACATACCTAAGTGGCAGGTTCAGTCCCTGGTTGGGGTGCATATCAGAGGCACCCAATCCATGTTTTCTCTTTCTCTCCACACCCTCCCCTCCACACACACCTCTTTCTCTCCATCTCCCTTCTTCTATCTAAAAAATAAATGAACATATCCTCGGGTGAGGATTAAAAAAATGACTTAACAAGGTGGGGGATCCAAGATGGCAGGGGAATAAGGAATGCCACACTCATCTCCTCCCAGGGCCAAACTGGAATTACAACTAAAATATAGAGCATGCAACTTGAATAACCAACTGAAGACTAGCTGAAGAGAAGTCTTATAATCAAAGATATACAGAAAAAACCATGTCAAGACTGGTAGGAAGAGTGGAATGGGAAAGGGCTGGGCCCAATCTCACAGAAAGCAGCTGAGATTCCAGAAGGATATCCCAGCTATGGGAGAAGGTTCCCACTGAGAAGCATGGTGTCTCAAACCCAAGCCAGGCTCCCCAGCCTAGAGCACAAGAGCTGAGAAGAGATGCTCATCAACCATCTGGCTGTGAAAATCAGCTGGGATTGTGTCTGCCAGGGAAAGACAGGAGTCTGCTAGATATACAGGCACACTCTTAAAGAGCCAATGAACAAAATCTTGTTCGCAGTCACTCACCCTGGGCTTTGGTGGAGGTAAGGCAGAGTGGACGAGTCGGTGAGGAGAGATTGAGGTTTGTGCCTCTAAGGAGAGAACTGAAGGGACAGTTGCCATGATAGCTGTAGTGAGCCTCATTACCACACCAGAGACAGCATATTTTTGGGTGGAGCACTCCTCTCCATATAGACATAAGCTTGGGGGAAAATAATAGCCCTACCTTCTGGACTCCCTGTGAAGTTCACATCCTGCTGAAGAGTCAGCTGTCTGAGCCAGTGTGTAGAGGTCTAAGCAGACTCAGGGAGTATAAGTGACTGAGTTGAGTGGCTTTGGGGTGGGGCAATTCCATCCACTTTCCTGTGAAACTGACTGATGTCTCTTCCTCAAGGGAGATCCACCCTTGCCAGTCTCCTGACTCCTGGGTGGCTCCTCCCTTCTGAGTTCTAGGTAGAATCCAGGACAGACTGAGTTGTGTGGCTCTGGGGTGGATGCCACTATCTTTGAAGTCTGACGGGCACCTCCCCTTCATGGGAAATCCACTAGCCCCATTCTATTAACTCCTGGTGGCCCCACCCTGCTGAGATTGGGTTCCTGGCAGAATCTTGGACAAATTTAGTTGTGTGGATCTAAGACGGAGGCCATTTTGGCCTTGCATGCCTGAATGGTGCACAGCCCTCCCTTCACACAGCCTAATCTTGGTCTGTTTGGGTCTGATAAACTCTGCTGGCCTCATCTTGACAACTCCCTAAGACAGTGCTCCACCATGAAGGTGTGTGAACACCCAGTAGGTGGCAGCTAGTCTTGGGTTACCCAGAATATTTCTTGAGTGGCCTTGATCCAGCACTGACACTGAGTTTGAACCTATATCAATCTGGAGAATACTGCTCACCCCTACCTGATGACTCACAGAAAACCAACCCCATACAACTCTAGTACTGCCAGAAGCTCTTTCAGTGACTGAGTCTAATAGGCAGCTGACAGGTTGAGGCAGGTGGACATGGAATTCCAGGTGCTTAGGGACTTTTGCTGGCCTGTCACCAGACCTGGTGCTGGTAAAAGCCAGTCTTGCTGCACAGTTTGATTCTTCACATGCAGTTTGTGGCACAGGCAGCCACAAACTGGATCACTTTGCAGCTTCAGGCAGGTTGCCCAGGGCCAGTCACAGGCAGCACCTGACAAGGGCCTGCACCAGAATATCTCCCAAGAGGCCCCCAAATCAACACACCCAGTGGTCAGCTTCTGATAGCATCAGAGGATACAAGAAACTTCACAAACAGCATATCCAAAGGGATATCTTGGCAGGCACCAGACCCTGCTGAGGCAAACTTTGCTTTGTGTGGTGCCTCCACAGCAGCTCATACCCTGTGGTCCAGGTCGATCCTCACAGTCAGTCAGCCTGAGTGCCTACTCAATGCACAAATGGGCCAATAGCAATCAAGATTCAATTACAATAAGAGGGCTTACATAACCCACACAGGGGACAGTCCTGGAGCACCCAGCTCAGGTGATCAAAGAGACAGTGTTATTGGCTCCCACAGAACACCTACTACATATGGCACTCTACCAAGACTGAGAGTCATAGCAGATCTACCTACTACATAGAAACAAATACAAAGAGGCAGCCAACATGAGGGTACAAAGATATATGCCCCAAGTGAAAAAACAGGATAAATCTCTAGAAAAATAGTTAAATTAAATGAAGGCAAGCAATTTATCAGATATAGATTTTTTTAAATGGTTATAAGGATGCTCAAGAAACTTACTGGGAACTATAACATCATGAAAAAGGACATAGGAGCCATATAAAAAATAAAAACAAAAAAACACAGAAATGAGGAGTACAATATCTGAACTGGAGAATATACCAGAAGGAATAAGTGGTTGGATGAAGCAGAGAATTGCATCAGCAATTTGGAATACAGGTAGCAGAAAACACCGAATCAGAGCAGCAAAAAGAAAAAATAATTAAAAATGAAGATAATT